AGCGTTTAACCTTCTATGAATGAAAAAATTACATGAATGAATATACGTTTCTGTTCCTTCATTTATAAATAATAATTAAAAATAGAAAAGTATTGTTAATATTCTGTATAAGAGTAGATTAAGGAGAGTATGTGATATTAAAGGACCACGCACATTTCTTATGGAAAATGGCTTTCGGTGAAAATGGCTTAAAAATTTAATATACAGTTGCCGACATTCTGATTAAAAGTTGTCATTACACCATGACCCTAAAACCCATACTTTTAGAGATATAATGGGGTAAACTTGTCCGTGTGCAGGAATTCGTAAATATTAGTTGGACCTAGGGATGAGAGTATTTCTTCAATTACATTATTGAGTAACCGTAATTTTTAGAACATATTTTTGGGTTTTTGGGCTATTGGATTACTGGGTTAATGGATTATTTCTCTACTTGTGTTAGTATTTATATACTTACTTATTGTTTTACTAAGTTTTTCTTATTTTACTAAGTAATTGAGTTCTTTGTTATTAATAATTCCATGTAACTACTTCTTCTTGTAAAAGTATGATGCTGCTATGGTGGGTCCCCTAGTGAAATCCCCCACTCTTTGGAGGCAATAACACGCGTATTAATTGTCGTAGTTCGCCCGATGTTGAGTACTTAGGTACATTTCAGAGATAATAAAAAATAATCACACATCCACGTATAGATTCTCTTCCCACTTTTGAGTATAGTGGGAAGAGAATCCGAGGTGCATCGAGCTCATCAGTCGTACTGTTGAATGGAGAACGGGGACTGGTACTGTAGCTCCGACACTCTGTATCTGAAGTTTTCAAAGACATGGCCAAGGTTTGGGACTAGTACACCAGCATGCTAACCGTATCTGTGGATGTACTGACTGACACACCAACGGGGACTCTATAGTAGGTTTCAGTAGAGAATCCGAGGAAACTACTACCATTTATACCGATTTCTGATACAAATAAATACAGAGATAATCGCTTCGATCTTTAATAAGTTGAGGTGCATAGATTATAAGTATATATAACAGAAAAATTTACAATATTCTTCTAATGAACAGAGAATTCTTTATTATCGTTAATTGTGTGTCATTTAATAATACATTCATCCATATATATTTACATATAAATAGTTAGCTTACAATGTAAAAAATTAAACAACGAATAAAATAATAACCAAGAAAAACTTTCTATCTATTAAATTCATTCTTCATTGAGCATTTCCTTGAAGGTTTCGATTTCCAGCATCAAGGATTTGATCTAATAATATTGTTGAAGGATAATGAATATTTTGTTGGTTTCGAGCATAACCAAGAAACCACACCACACTGGCAATGTGAGAACATGTTCCGAGAGCCCGAGCCCCAGATTTGCACGTACAATAATAACCCAATATAGGTGATTCCTCTTCCTCGCGATCATCAGGGTTCAATTCATTATTTTCGACAGGCCTGTATGCAATCCAAAGTAGATACTTTCCGGCATTACGGAATCGAGAGAATATTCTAATTCTTATAAAGCCAGGTTCTGGTAATTGTTCGTTGTCTCTCATCATTTCGAGCTGAAATTCTTCCGTATTTTCCCGTTGTAACTTATCTTGAATATAGCTAGGAGATAGCTTAACCTGGTAAACACCGACAGTCAAATCTCGGACCATATCTAAGGTTAGAGCAGGAAAATCTGATACATCTTGACCATTTAAACGGACCCATCTTTACGCATTTCGAGTATGTAGTAGTTGGGCCTCTACGCGTGCCTGAACAACGTTTACTTCAGTGGCTCTTTCTAGTAGTCTCTACTCTAGTAAATTGTCAGCAAGATTCATTTCAGTAGGAATGCGATATCGGTTAATAATAGCTCCAGTAATTCTATAAAAGTTCCTTAGATGTGGAAGGTGATGTGTATGTATGGTTTGCTGAAAAAACTTGAAAATGGACTTTATATATGGCCATTTCTCGCTTCCACAATCCATCTTGTCTTCGTAATAAGCCTTGATTCATTTGCTTCATCAGTACTTAGTTGCCTTCTGCCTCGTGGAAGATGTGATGGCATCTTCCAATTTATTCCAAGATGTTGAAGTGATTCTATAGCATCTCTATAACCCCGATCGACTATTATTATGTCGTATTCTTGAAACCATTCTCGCATTCTCTCAGCATTTCTATTAAATTCGTGTTCAAGAAGGGCAGCATCATTATTATTACTGTCAGAAGAGTAAGGCCCGTGGATGTCAAGAATGTAGCTATTGGGAGCCACAACTAGTACTGGCTTTAACAAATGTCGACCCTTGTGCATACAGTAAGACTGACGAAGACTGCTAAAATTACTACTTTTTTAAATATAACTGTAAGTACCGTCGATGTATGCGATCACCCGTGGAACTTCAGGTTCTGGGTTGTAGAGAGTATTTGAAAATTCGGTAACATGTCTCTCGATTTAATTTCGTCTTGTAATTGCATCTAAACCAATGTTAGTTGGAACAAATCTTTGCATTAGTGATTGCCGAACAGTAGATATAGCCATGCTCGTGGCCTGTCTAGAAGGGTAATCAAAAATCAATTTAATAAATTCATCAGAGAGTCCTTGTCTTATTTTACACAGAAATGCCAATAGATCTTTTTTCGATACATATCTAAAGGCATCACCACAAGGAAATCTATCGCAATAAGTAAACAATTCTAAGAATTGTTGTTTATTTATAGAAGAAAAAGTAATAAACTCATCATCTGACATGTTATTTTCATCGATTAATCTTCTCTGATTATTTGCAGCTTGTCTAAGTCCCTCTAAAAATGATTGCAGATTATTCCCAATAGCAATAGGTCTCTTCAACGATATTAGGCCAGGAAAGAAAGCTGGTAAGAGAAGTCTCTGATCATCCAAATGTCGTTGTCATGATCTAACTCCTTCAGGAATGTAAATATTACATAAAACGAAAACATTAACTCTACATTCTACAGAATGTCTATGAATATTATCTGCAGCATTACAAATCAGGCATGTCTGTCTTGCACCTTGTGTTAAAACATTAAGTTGCAAACAATTTCGATATCTTTGAATTTCTTCTATTTCTTGCAGAATGGAACGATTAGGTACAGTTAATGCAGATTCTCGTTTGTCCGGTCACTTCAAGAGGAGGTCTTTCATAAGTTTGCCGTCTATAGATCGCAATATTACATTTCTCAGCATTATCAGTTCTATCAATTCTAGTCAACTGTCCAGGTAGAAAAAGGAGGTCGCATGTATAACAATGCCATCGAATTCTGCCAACCATTCTATTTAACTATGATATTTACGCATTAACTAAAAGCAGAAAAATATTAGATAATAATAATAATAATAATAATAATAATAGTTTATTAGTGTTAATGTAACAAGTACTTACACAAGTCAGAATAAAAGCACTGAAAATACTTAAAACTGATGTAAATGTATAACAGTGTATGACAGCAGGCATAAACATCTGTGCATCACAAAATATAACAGACATCACATAAAAACAAACTCTAGATCACACATAATGATGCTCCGCTAATAAAGTGTAAATAATTACATGACAAGAATTCTCTATAGTGGTAAAATGCCTTCCCCAGGAGAAACCTCTTCAAAGGATGTCATACACTTAATATATTTAATTTCGCCAGATACTTTGGGATGTTTTGTGTTTTATTTAGCCTATAGTATGGAGTTTATAAGTTTACCCCATTATATCTTTGTTTCTTGTATCGTAACTGTGTTGGTTTGCTAGGTGGGACAGCTGTCTAGGGTTGATTTAACGTATGTCAGGCATTCCAAAATATACAATGAGGGTAAAGTTAATATTTTATATGTGATGAATGCATTTTTACAATCATCCATATAACCCAGTCCAGCTATGATTCTAATTAATTTTCTTTGAATTGCAAATACTTTATCAAAATCTGCGGCATGACCCCAGACTATTATTGCATAACTCATAATTGAATGGCACAAGGAGAAGTAGGCAGATCTCAATACACTAGTGGACACAGAACCTGAGAGATTACGAACAACAATAAAAATGATGTATTTAGATTGTACAATATTTATGTATTTATACAGCCATGCTGGTGAAAAAATTCTAAAACAGCATAGAGAAAATTACATTTTGTTTAAAAATTGCTTCCACTGGAAAAAATGGCCCTATAATTATTACATTCAAAATAAAACTTAATCAACAGGCTTACGAGTTTTTTTATTGAAAGTAGCTACTTTTGAAGGTTTCTGAAAAACTTACGTGATATTCAAGTTGAGATTTTTTACAATCTCAAGTTTAGCATTATCTACAATCTGTGCAGATAAATCCTTTTGTAACTGTAGTTTCTTGAATAATATTTTCAAAAAGTATAGAATATGTTAATGTCACGTGTAATAAGCTAAATATTAAATAGATTTTAGCTAGATATGATATAGATTATATTTAGATTTCATACTAATTTGTTTCAGAAATTAAAAGTTTTAACCTAATACATTTTTCTCTTGTGCACATATAACATATTCTCTTCTACTCGATGTACTTCTATGAACCACTATTAACATTTATGCACCTTTAATTCAGTTCCCATCATATTCGTACAACAACATTTCGGAATACCGAAATAGTCACATGAATAGTCGGAGTTCTTTATAGTAAAGAACCCAATTACTTAGTAAAATATCAGAAAGTAAAACAATAAGTAAGTATATGAATACTAATATAAGTAAAGAAATAACCCAACAACCCAAAAACTCAGTTCCAAAAATTACACTTACTCAATAGTCTCATTCCTAAAGTATAGCTCCAACTAATATTTACAAAATCCTGCACACGGACAAGTTTACCCCATTATATCTTTAAAAGTATGAGTTTTAGGGCCATGGTGTAATAAATACAACTTTTGATCAGAATGTCGAAAACTATAACATACTAAATTTTCTCAGCCATTTTCACCAAAAGCCATTTTCCATAAGAAATGTGCGTGGTCCTTTATTGTACCTACCATTTTAATAATTTCCGGATATACAGGCTCAGTAAGAACACCTCTACCACCGGTAATATAATCGACTAATTCATTAAGAGTACATCTTTTAACTTCCTTTCCCTTTAGATCTGCCACTGGATCCATAAAGTCGAATGCCACACAGCACTGTCTAAGCTTTCTAATGAATAGATCCTCCTGCTCGGATGCTGGTACATCTAGAAACACAAACAGTATATTTGTAGTATAATTTAAATAATTTTCTAATTTAAGGTATACTTAAAAAAAAAAATTCAAATTGCAACGAATTATTCAAGGGTAACCATGTAAATAATATTTATTTTTTGTCATAGGTAAAACAGTGTATTATTATCTGAATTTATCCACTTCAGCAATTTTTTTTGTGTTTAAAAATATATGTCTTCTTTAAACTTTAACAACCTGTATTTCAAAAACAGTATTACATACATATTTTCCTTTAATTTATGATATAGAATCGCCCATTAAAATTAGGTTTCTAAACCACATAGGTATGTAATTTTAACTAAATTAATACCTTAACACAGATTTGAATGTTTCAAAGATCTCAGTTTATCAATTAGCACTTACTCGACTATTTATCAAAACGGCAGTCCCAGTAAAAAACAGTTTTATTTTTTAATTTACACCTCAAAACATTTATAAGCAATGAATAATTATTTTCAGGGTCATCAAAAAATTAAGTTAACCATTAATTAAGTAATCAGTTTTACCTTTTAATTTATAAAAAAATTGTGATGTATCCTAGTTTTCAAATAAAAATTCATTTTTACGAGAACTTCTGAGTAACAGGTTGGGTTAGAATAATAAATATGAAGCAATAAGTTAAGCTCGGAAATAAGTTTATAATATTTAGGTGTGTTTTTTCCTTGATTAATTTTATCAAGCTGTCCCAAATGCGAAGTTCCACCTCGTCTATGACATCATTCGATTTGTAAATATGTAGTTCTTTACAAAAAACACGTTAGTTCCTTTATAAGGTTAAAGTCAAATAAATGACTTATCTTATATATAAAATCAGGACATATTTATTCATTGAAAAAATATTTCACTAGTCATCTTGTGGTATATTATCCAATTAAAACTTATAAAAAATAGAATTTCTAAGTAATCATACATACATATAGCTAGTAATTTAAAATATAATGAATAAAATATAATAATAGAGTTAATGTTGTTTATATTAATTAAAAAATAATAATAAAAAAAATTTAAGTATATAACTCCTCATATTATTTTATGCGCTATTCTATATACAGGATGTGTCTGAAATAAATGCGTTTCTTTAAAGGAATAATTGAACAAATTATTTTAAACAAAGTTTCATATGACCGTGGGTTGTCGTTCGCTTCGTTTTCGATATATACATGATGTTGTGGTTAGAAAAAAAAAATCACATTTTTTTAAATATCTCTGAGGATGTTCAAGGCAGACTGATGAAACTTTAGTCAGTGATTTATCTGCGTAGAAGTAAAAACTCGATAAGACTTACAAGTATCAACCAGTGACGGATATATGAGGGGTCGGTACCTAGGAGTTTCAGAATTTCGACGACAATGAGTTTTCTGCAAATAATTTTTTATTATCAATTGAATTTCTAGGGATAAAGATCTCTTAGATTTTGTTTGAAGAATGAGCCGTTTTAGAGGTTTGATTTTTTTTTCATATTAAAGTGAGCTTACAGTTAAGTAAATCTAAACTGTTCGTACTACAATAACAGTTTACGATAATTTTTTGTTAGAAATACAATTTTAAATGCCAAGTTGTGACAAAGATAAAGAAATTATTGGTACGGAGTTTTACAGTTACTTTCGATTTATGTACTTAATTGTGTCATATGTTCATTTTAATATTTATAAACTCAGAACTCTAAAATGGCTCGTTCTTCGAACAAACTGTAAGAGATTTTTTTCTTAGAAATTCCATTGGCAATAAGAAGCATAAATCGAATTTACTCTGTACTCTTTGGCGTCAAAATTCTGAAGTTCCTAGTGGTACCAACCCCTCGTATTTTCGACACTGGTTAACATATTTGTAACTCAACTTCGTGTGTCTTCAATTCTACTTAAATAAATCCGTGGCATAAGTTTATCAGTCTACATCCAAAATCCTCAGAAATATTACAGAAAATGTAATATAGTTTTTCTAATTTCAATACCATGAATCTGGAAAATGAATCGAACCGACCCACATTCTTATGAAATTTTTTGCTTAAAATAGCTTGTTCCATACCCCATTGAATGAATACACATATTTCAGAAGCACAGTGTATATGCAATATTAGTCTTACTTTCATCTATTTAGAATTGAGATAGTAGTTATTATTATTATTATTTCTTAAATATCTAATATCGAGCAATAAACTTAAGCCACTTGCCATGGTATATCGCACTATAAAACCATAAAGATATTGTTTAAAAGTAGAGTTCCAATTAAAAAAGTTACATCATTTTTTATTTCTAAATATATTTATTTTCATATAATGTTAAAAACAATAATAAATTAGTTTTGAAAATTTTGGATATTTTCAAAATTATAGTAATACTTGATATAACTAAATTATTTGTGTCCACGACACGAATTAAAAGAATTCTTATAAAGATTTCTTATAAAGATGTGATCGAAAACGCATCGTTTTTGAAAAAACAGGTGTCAAAAATTCATAAATATTTCAAATTGCTAAAAACAGTTGATAAAACCGTGTAAATATTTTATCGCATAATTAATAATAATTCTCTTGGATTTATACAATAAAAAATAATTAATTTACACGAAGTATTTTAAATGTTATTAAAAAAAATCGATTTTCAGGGGGACCCTTTAGGGAAAATTTTTATAGGAACTTGTAATGTTGTTTTAACGTCCCCTGTATAAAACCGGTACTACCTAATCCTGTATATTGCCCACATATTCTGGACTCCCTGTATAATATGGTACCTACAAACTTTTGCCATTTAGATTTAAAAAAACGTGTATTTTAGCGACATGCTGCAAGAACTTATTTTTATAAAGTATATTTAATGCTCTTTCTCTGTTATAATAGTGAATGTCCAATTTGAAATAAATTGGAAAAATGCGAGCGAAAGTCTACCCCTGAAACCATACCACTGTAAAAGAAAACGACACAAACAATAACCAAAGCTGCATATTACATTGAAATGAAATCCCTTCACCCATTTTTATGTCACGACTTAATTTAAAAAAATAATAATAAATTTTTCAAATTTTAATACATTGTAGGTATTTCGAAAAGGAGGCGTTTCCGGACACGTTTTTTTTTCTCATTAATTTGCGACGTAGAATCCGCCATTAAAGTTTGACCAAGCATTTGAAGTATATTCTGTGTATCTTTCCAGTAATTACAAATATCCTTTTAAAAAAACAGCAATATGTTTGATGGTATTGAAGACTGTTCAGTTTAAGGAGTTAACATCACATTTTAAAGTGAGGAAACATTTTAAAGGTTGGGAAATACAAAATCGGCGAAACCCTCCTAATCTATACTTACTTGCAACTTGGACGATGACTTTCATTGCCTCCAAAATAGTAATACGTTTAAAAAATCGCACATGCGAACAGAGCAATATCACAGATGACTGAGAGACTAATAAAAACGTGAGCAATTCACACGGCGGTGAACACAACATTTTTCGAGTAACCTACAAAAACTTGCTAGTGCGGCACAAACACTATACGAATATTTTGCGTACATTTATGCAGATGAGGCACGTTTATTTATTTTATTAATATAGGATTCATTAATACCAGGAGTTTGTTCAATTTGGCGAAGCGCACTTGTATCAAAGATAACGATCATACCGTATTTACTTAACAGTTTAATATAAATTATCGAGGCTGGTGTTACTATGGAACGAATGTCCCGTGTAGTTAGTTAGAACTGGAATCAATATTTTTTTTCGTATTAAAAAGTGGCATTCGAGTGAATAATGATCCTATATTTAGACCCAATAAACAATCAAAAAATATATTGCTTCTGAAACAATGAATGGGTAATGAATGTAATTTAATTCATTAAGGAAACGTTTCGTTTGTAGTTTTCAATGACAGTACGCATTTGAAGATAAAATGAAATACTTGATACCTTCCAAAGGAACCCCAAAACTGAAATACAGAGATTCAAATAACCTAAGGAAGCGGTGGAAGTAGTGTCTTCACATTTCTAATAATTAACACATTTGTCATTTGTCTTGTCCATATCCTTCGTAGACTGAAACGTCACACATTACAATTAAAATAGTTGAGGTAAAATTATACGAGGGAATTACAGAAACAGCAAAGGACCTGACATATGACAGAAAACCTAAGAAAACACTGACTCATATATTTTTCGGTACTATTCAAGCCTCGATTCAAGCCAAACTATTTATCTTGCGATTAGTTTTGCTATGTAACCTCAACGGACTAGAGCTAGATTTTCATTGCTTGTAGAAAACAAAAAAAAACGCCTATGGGTGGTGATAGAAGGGCGGGGTTCAGTATATTTTCTAAAAATGGTTAAGCAGTTGATTCCTGGAAATTTTCTTTTGTGAATAAATTCTCGTAGTTTTCGTTTCTGTACGATTTTAATATATCTTATCCACCGTATCATTTATCACAACATTCATCAGCAAAAAGACTCATCACGTACTGTGCTCAAAAGTTACCTACCTCTTTACCTTCTTTATAAAAAATATCTGACTTTTTTGAGCTGTATTCGCCCGAAGTTCTCTTAAGAAATGGACATATCTACATACAGGGGTTAGATATGTGATACAGGTGTGTAAACCTTATTTATTGATTTTTTTTTTCTTACTTATGAAAATCATGATTCTTAACATTGGGTAATTGAATAGTGCATTCAATGCAGTCCTGCTTTTTGTGAATGTTGCTTTTCGGAGAAAAACGCCAACAGAATTTTTCTGGATATTTTTGTTCTTTCTTTCTTGGCGAACTTTTTGATCTCATCTGACCGTTTGACAGTAAACAAAACACCTCAGTATAATAAGCAAATAAGTTTGTTAAAAACAAACTCTGAATGATCCCTGTGGCGCAGAAGTTTATTCACAATTTATTTTTTTTATTTTTCTGTGTGGCAAAATACACAAAAACAGCATAACAATACATATAAGAAATGCCACAATAAATAAAAAAGTTCAGAAAATAAGTACACCATAAAGTAAAATTACATTGTGATCAGGATAGTGAAAATGATTTTGACTTGGTCAGTTAAAACCAGGCTTTTAATCATTACCTAAGTTCAAAATATGCCCTAACACTGTCTTGCCTTCATGAAAACGTAAACCTTCACGCTGCTTGCAATTTCAATTCCATTTAAAAAATTTAGATCTTGTTCTCGGTAGCTATACCAGCTGTATAACTCATATAACTCTTTTTCTTAGTGAAGGCTGATGAAAATTAAAAAGTGGTCATACAACCACGGAACCCATACCGTTTTTTGGAGGATTATTTCACATAGAGAACTTCCATGGCGAAACAATTTCGCATGGAATTTAGAATAAAAAATTAAAATTTCAAACTTTACAAATTTTTCTTTGTGGACCTAGACATCATCCCCTAAAAATGATATACGTCCCATGCTTTATTTATGATCTAAATATAGCCACTTTTAATATTCATCAGCCGCCACTGGTTTTTCTTAATATCAAGTGTGGACCTCTGGATAAAAAACCCAATTCTTTTCTTTTTGATTTAATAAAAAAGTTGTCCAAATGCGAATAGTATATGAAAAAGATATATTATATGCATATTTATATCTTTGATTGGATTATCTATCTCAAAACATTTAATTTATTATTACTTTTTTAAATATCCTGGTAACTTCCTACCTTTTTGTCAGTATTATCTATGCATGGCATTTTCATTTAAGTACATTATTAATTATTCTGAATACATGCAATGAATAGTTCGAATGACACTTGTATATTTGATTTCTGCAAGAACTACAATTCGAAAATCTACAAAATCAAATATGTCAAAAAGCACTTATTTTTTGCAAATGTAGGCAAATATTTAAAATATAAATGTACAAATTCCTGTCAACAATTTACATGTTTCATTTATTCCATCATTTTCCAAATGCTTGTAATAATATTTACAACACACAAACCATATACTATTTAAGTAGTGTACAAGTAATGTAACAACGCATCGTCATTTATTTGAAATCATAAAAATGAAATTACTTAGATGTAAATTAATTGAAGAACATTGCAAAATTATATTATAAAAAATATGTTTAAAAAAAATTACTAAACTACTACTAAATCAAATTTAGTCACATTTCCAGATTAATATTTGGACCAAAAATATTTGTGATATAGCTATTATACAATACCGGGTGTTACAAAAAATTAGGTCAAGTCGTCAACAACAGATTCTTTCGGTGTTTTACCTTATGCCTTTTATTTAAGTGCCTCTTTTAAATTATAGGGTGACAAGGTTAAACTTTATTAAAAGAATATTCCTGTTTATTGAATATTTTGGCAGACGCGAAAAAATTATATAATAAACCCTTACGCTAAAAGGATCGGTTAAGTGTTATTTACACATAGACATAAAAATACACATCACTTACCTCAATTATTGTCGGTACCGTTTCGAAAAATCGGTCTTTCAAACTTATTATTTAATTACATTTCTTTTTTAATTAAATTTGATCGAGGGTTTCATTGTTTTTTCTGTTTTTTATTTGCAGTCATACATTTTTGGTTAAGCAAAAATAGTTTAATAAAAATAATCTTGAATTATTGGTGCAAGGGTTTATTAAATAATTTTTTAATTTTTTTCACAGGTGGCAAAATATCCAATACAGAGGAAAAATTGAAAATGTGTCGGCAAAACCTTACATAATAAGAGATTTTTATTAATAACTCTTTTAGGGGTCCTTTAAGATATTCAATTAACATTTTGCGTAGGCCTGTACACTTTTGTACAATCTTAAAAAAAATCAAAGCATGAAAGGATTCCTCCTTCCATGTTGAGGAGGTTGTAGTAAACATTAATTCCAAATTTTTCCAGTTCGATGATATTGTATATATTTGCCTACGTTACACTTAAAGCTTGGCGTTTTTTTAGATCGTTGAATTTTGTAAGTACCAATTTTAGGGAGCTGGTTGAACTTTCTCTTAATTTACTTAGTCTAATTTAAGAATTTAAAATATAGGTATTAAGATACTTGCAATTTGCATTCCAATACTAGATGGTAGATAATAATAAGAAATCAATATTAAAATGGGTTTTATTAATGAGAGAAAACCAATTGTAGTTTTAGCCTCTTCCAATTCATGGAACTATATATTTTACGCCAAAGACAAATAAAAAAATCTCAATTGTAAAGCTAATTTCGCAGTTAAGACGTTAAGCAGAAACATATCCGAATTGATAACACCCAAGAATATTTTTGTCTCTCTTAAGAGAAATAAAAAAACAGCAAATGGATCAGTATCACCTATTCAAAAACATTGCAGTACCTCATCAAAGTGTGCCGGCATTTGATAAAAGACCGTGCAGTGCAAAGTTTCAATGAAATTAATATAAATGGGAGTAATTTGTGAAAATTATGTGGGCCTTTCCCAACTAAAAATTACCTGTTTCGGGTTTCTTTCAGAAATAATTAGTTTTCAAAATAATCAGGTAGTCTTTTCGTGGACTACCCGGTATAGTCACTTTTATTTTATAAATTATTATATAATTATATAACTAATATACAGGGTGTTAGAAGTTTGACTGCTTTAATTTTAACAGACGATAGAATACATTAAAATAAACAAAAAATCCTTATATGACGGGTTATAAACAATTTCCGAGAAAAAAATTATTAAAATCTCCAACTTGATGTATAAACGTTCGATTAATTTAGGAATATTGACATAACTGCGTGCATAGAATACCATAAAATACAATGTTTATCACTTTTTTGAATTTCTTTGTTTAATTCTAAAAAATAATTGTAATAAATTTAAAATTCGATTTTCATATCGAGCAATATGACAACGGCGCGGCGGATAACACGAGGTACTAAGCTGCCCTGCAATACGCAATTCAGTTGGTGTTGGTATCTGGAATTGGACCGTATCTGAGTGTTTTTTGCGTACCACTATTTCCTTGTCTTAAGGTGTTTTCCAGTGAGTACGCGAAAATTGGATTCGAAGGTGTCGTGCGTGTGTAGTGGTGGACATTTTGAGGATATGTTGTAGTTTGTTTTGTACTTGTGCGTTTAAAAATTACTGAATTTTGCTTTTTGGTAAGTACCTAAATTATTTTTCATAATTTGATTAAAAGTTAAGTTCCTGTTTTAAGAGATTCATAATTACTAAAATTCGAGGTAAAATTTAAGCACAACACTATCTAAATACTACAAAATCGATAAAATTTACTAAATGTTTCACAATAAAAGTTGTTTACATTTTTTACGCAGCGCGCACACGTGGTATGCACTAGCTGTGTAGCGTTAGGTTAAACCCTGTTGTCACGTTGTGATGAAACTCCTTAATATTAATACTCGCTGTATTTTGAAAACTGTTAATCTTACGCCCCTGTAATATACAACTTTTTTGTTCATTTATGATTACTCTATCTCATGCTGAAGTAATGGCAGTCAAACTTCTTATACCTTGTATAATATAATTCGTAGTTAGGTACTTTTTCGGCACAAAATTAACACTAAAGTAAAAAAAAAACAATACAGAAAC